AAGACTCTGCATTTCCTTTGTCAAGAGACTTAAAGTAAGATATAGACTACCTAAACAACGCATTGTAATTTTATTATTCATAGCCATATAATTATGTAGTTTAGGTTAGTGATACTTATTTTTAAAAAGAGAATTGTAACTTGCAAGATTCTTTCTTTTTTTTTCTTTTTTACTTTTTATACACTTTCATGTCATATTCCGGGTTGTATGAAATTGCTCAATAAAGATTATTTTATTAAAATTACATGTCAAGCAGTTTGAGTGTTGCTCGGGATTTTCAGACGATGAACGATTTACACTGTAACTTGGTCTTCCACAAAAATTTTTAGATCTAGTTGAGGTCTCCGAAAACAGTTAAGTTGATTCTTTCTGCAGATATGAAAGGTTGGTTATTCATCAAACAAGCTCGGTAAAATTATTGGAGTAATGGAAACAACGATATTTTTTTATTTCACACGATACCCTACCCTACAAAGAGGCTCTTATATGCTTTGGTGCGTTAAAGGAAGCTTCAGGTTTGGTTATGAAGTTGTTGACAGCAATTTGTGCTTATCTCAACTGGTTAATGTTAGGTATTTTAGAAGAATATCTGAATGTTTTAAAATTAATACCTCTCACCTTGAACAGTCAAAGTAGCCGAGGATCTCAATGCTCTGAGAATATTCCTTGCTTCGCAGCTGTACGTTCCCACTATCTTGTGACGTCACTTCTGTAATCACCAAGCCCTTACGTCGCAGAACAGCCCGATTGCTCGAAGCAATACTGGTGTTATCTTTTAGCCACGTGACTTTGCGTTGTGGGTTTCCTACGGCCTCACACTGAAACGAAGCTGTACCAGTTTCGTTTATCACTATGGACAGTACTAGTGGAGGTGCCACAATGGAGGGAGCTGCGATAGATTTACCAGGTTCACCCTTACCTCCCGGAGAGCCCATGGGTCCGGGAGGTCCCTGAATGCCTTGAGGACCATGGTTTCCTGTTGGTCCCCCATTATTCTTCGTTGCCTAGATGGTCCATGCTTACCTGGAGGGCCTATTGGTCCAGCTGGGGGTCTTCCCTGACCGGGTCTCCCTCGTCTTCCCCTGATGCTTTTAGGGCACTGAACGCTACAAGCCTGGCTGCTCAAAGTAAGTCGTACTTCTCTTCTGATCGCTTCAGGATCGATGCTGACATTGGCGTTTAACCTCCCGTCTGTATTTTTCAATTTCCGTTTTTGACGAGTTTGAAGATCTGCGGGAAACACTCCAGAATAACTACCGCTACGTTCCACTTAGCTTATTTCACTCTCAAGATGCCTGAGGCTTCTGTTTAAAAAAAAAGGGAATCTGCCGAACCTCTTACAGAGCTACAAGTTTTTATCATCATGCGCTCAGCGTCATTTTGTAAGTGAGGTCGTCTAAACTTACGAATGGCCCATTTAAGCTGGCGCGATTCCCAGCTGCTGTTTCGGAAATGAGAGAACTCAAGAAAACGAGGACAACAAAACTAGAAATGAGTTGCGATACCGCTACAAATTATTCGTTATAATTACGATGCTCGATTCACCGTATGTCTCTTGAGGTGCATGTTATTTATCCTCTCGAACGGAAGAGTTGGACAAAATTATATTTATCTACGCGAGTTTGTTACAAATTCATAACCTACAGCGTATAAATTATCCCCTCAAGCTTTTCTTTGTTTTCTTATTTGTGTGAACTGAACTAAGATTCAGTGTCCACGGCCGTTCGAGCTAAATTGGGTACTGCCTCGGTAAAAGTGCCCATCAAAAGGGGGGAAAGCAGCTCTTGTGCGTGTTTATGTTTTTTTGGTATTTCTGGAACAGACCCAGAACGTTTTGCTTTGAAATCAGAACGTCACGAAACAAAAGCAAACATGTCGTCATTAGAGTAGATTAGCAGCTGACTCTGAGACGTTTGAG